ACACACAGCGCTTACATTCAAACGAGGCAGGTCCCTAGGTGCTTCTAATGAGGTTTGGTTTCATCGGTTCTCGTCCCCTCCATTTGGTTCCCCTTTCATCCCTTCCCCTTCACACACTTTTGTTTCCTCTTTTCTTTCATGTCCTCCTGTCTTCATGTCTGGTCGTCTCATCCTTTTCTTCGTTTGCGCGCACATGGGTCCCGGCCTTAGTGTGCACGTGCACTTCTACCTACATTTTTAACACAGGTTTCAGGTCGCGCAGGTCTTTACAGTGAGGTGGGCTTCATCGGGTGTCCCTGTGCACTTGGTTCCCCTTTCATTTCAACCACGCGCACCTTTGTCCCGTCTCGTCCTCCTGTCATGTCTTCATTCTTTTGTCTCTTGTGCGCGCACACGTGCACATTTGCCCTCACCTTAGCTTTTCGCCTCCCCTTGGGGAGGCGTGTGTGTCTGTGTGTGCCCCTTGTAGTCACAGGGATTCTTTTGAATTGTTTTCGTTTACTTCAGCAGGGGGGCGCAGCAGATCCAAGGGACTGCGCCTAACAAAGCTACCTTGCATCTGGGAAACAGAGCCTGATCAGCTCTGTGTACCTGCTTGATTTTTAACATTTGCCGAGAAGTGTCGTCAAGTGCTAGTGAGTTCTGCAGATGTGCACGGACCGCCGTCATCTTGTTCGACCCGTGATCGTCGATTGGTTTCTTCCGCTTTGGGCCATTTCTCCTTTTGAAGACCTCCAGGATCCGGGGTTCTTACTTGTACTCTTAGGAAGTGGTATCCTAGGCCGGCGTGTGGCACCGCTGTCAGTCCGTACGCATATCCATAAGTGAGTGTGGCCCTTTGCCAGTAACAGTTGGTAAAAGATGATCACGCTTATTTTGTGAGAAAGGCCTGTAACCAGGCCGCATCATCCTCCACTGGGCCCTGGGAGCTTGGGATATACCGGCCCTCCATCCAACGACTCTGTTTGTTTCCCATCCTGCTCAGGTGGAGGTGGGTCAGGATGTCCGCGATCTGGGTCAGAGTGCCAAGGAGGTCATCGGCACACATGCGCCCCAGGTGCCTCACCTGGTGCGAAAGGCCACAGGTGCCCGGGGGGCAAGAGGGGTCAGTGGTGAAGATGATGGGGTGGAGGTACTGAAATGGAGTGGTAGATGCATGAAGAGATGTTCAGGAACATGAGTGACATGAGAACATGCAGAACATGTAGCTACTTGCGGCTGCGTTTTTTTCAAACATAAAACAGGGTGCCTTTCTAACTGAGCTGTGGACATGACGTGGATTCATCATCTTGGTGGTGTCAGATCGTAATCAGATCAGTGGCCCTGTATCCAGGTACTGTGAGCGAAGCTGTGCAGAGTGGAACGGCTGCAGCCACATCCACAGGGCGCAGTTTTGCCGCGCGAAGCCAGGAGCACATCATCAATGTGGTCCATGAATCAGTGACCAAGCTATTCCTGGTATGCTGACCAGGTGGTGGGTTACTGATGTGATCCCCAGGTGAAGGTCCCCCACCCTGCCACCTCCCCCCCTTAAGATCCCTTAAGGGATGGATGGACCGTCGGGATGTTCAGGTCATCAGAGGTCTCAGGCCGAGCAGTGGACCGGTATGTCCGGAAGCCCATGAAGCCAACCCTTCAGGATGTCAGCCCCAAAAGGTGACATTGACATGTTGGACGCATTGGCCCTGTGGAGATGGCCGTTTTTCCCGTTGCCTGGGGGCCTGCACAAAGGCAAGAGGGGGTGTCTTGATTCCTGGAAGGTGCGGGGTTCTTTAACCCATCGCACGTGGGTTGAAGTCTCAAAGGGGAAAAGAGAGTTGTAGCTACATGTGTTGAGGGAATGGCAGGGAGCAGCAGCAGCAGCAGGGTTCCTCTTTGAGGACTTCCGAGCCCAGGTCCTTCGCCAAGTCTGCTAAGTGGGCTAAGCCCATTCAAGTGCTTTATTGAACTGCATGGTGGGCCAGACATGAGCTGCATATGTGCTCATGTGACAACAACTCATGTCCTTTGAGGCTTCGCCTTCGATCCAATACGATGTCTTGTTCCCACCGTGCCGGGTGCAGTTGGATCCAGCACCGATTCGGTGCACCGCGGAACGACGTGCGCTGGGCTTCGAACGATTTCGCCCCGCGGAACGACGGCGCTCGATCCGGCGCCCTTTCTGGCGCCCTTTCTTTTTCGACTCGAACGTTGAAACACGCCCCAGGTCGTCGCGCCGGTGAAGCGTGCGTGGCATTTCTTGGTCTTCGGCTTTCTCCTGTGCTTTTTGGTGCCACTCTTTGCGCTGAGGACGCGCTGGGAGGGTGGCGAAGAGTGATTTCTTCAGTAGCTAGAGCCCAGACTTTGACAGGGGCGATACAAATATATAATCATGAGAGAGATGTTGGTTGGCTGGCTGGCTGGCTGGTCGGTCGGTCGGTCGGTCGGTTGGTTGGTTGGTTGGTTGTCCAAGATGGAGGTCACTGATCATGGGCAAAACTTCTGAACATTTGCGGAACGTGTGTTGGACAGAGTTTTCACTGTCCCAGCCCCTAATTACAGTGCTCAGGGCGGCTGCGAGAGAGGTGAGATAGAGAGAGAGAGAGAGTGAGTGAGTGAGTGAGTGAGTGAGTGAGAGAGAGAGAGAGAGAGAGTGAGTGAGTGAGTGAGTGAGTGGGTGAGCGAGTGAGTGAGTTTGTTTCTACCAAGGTGACGCTCATTTCGGCCTGTTGAATCCTCCACTGTATTTTCAGTCTTCTGAAAGCTTGAAACGGACTCCTAAAAATTGTCAATTACATGTTATAACAAGACTTCTTTGAGACCTTGGTGTAATTCCCAACGCTCAACCAAGACAGGCCCGCAGATGGTGGGGGTTCATAAGCTAGCAGTCGATGCTGTTCTTCTGCTCAGCCAGGCGCAGCCACACCTTGGACAGCTTTAGTCAGCCACCCTTGGACAGCTTTAGTCAGCCACCCTTGGACAGCTTTAGTCAGCCACACCTTGGACAAGTCAGCCACAGCCACACCTTGGACAAGTCAGCCACACCTTGGACAGATTCCGGTGGAAGGAAACCATCCAAGCTTCCCCCACCAGGACGTACGCTCCATTCAACACCGTCGTCTCCAACATGGGCGTGCTTTGGTTGGCGGTCTGCACCTGCTGCCCGCCCAGAGGAATGCATCGGAGAGCAGCGAAAGCGGCTTTGATCCTTTTGTCTTCCGGGCTGACTTACTGTAATGTTTTTTTCTAACTTTATTTGTCTCCATCGTTCGCGAAATCTGCGGGGGTTCGATAGGTCAGGGGTCAATTCTTTTTTTCTTCTCCTCTCCTTCTCGGATGCGAAAAATCCGCGGGGGGGTGCAAATGTTATAGGTGTTTCCCACAAACCATGGACCGACTGATTGGGGAAGACTAGTTGGACCTACAGAGAAATGACAGATTTGGGTGTGTCGAAGTTAGTTGATTGGCGTGGTGCACAGAAAAGACGTTTTGTTTGATGAATCTGATCACAACCATTCCCTTGGCAGTTTTTGCGCAGCTGATGACGGCTGCCTCTTGCAAGGTATCCCTTGGTGACCGTCGCCCTGCCATTGGGCCTTCATTACTGGGCCACCCACCCGCAGTTCGCAGAGGACGTGAGCAGTGCTTTGCGACAGCTGCCCTCGGCTGTGACACGGACAGTGCAGTCCGTGCGCCCGAACCACTGCGACGCCCCGCCCGAGCCCAAGGTTCTCCCGGCGGCTCCAGCTGCAGCGCCCGCAGCTCCGGCTCCAGTGCCGCCCGCGGCAGCGGCCGAGAGGAAAGAGGTAGAAGAGGATACAGATCGCAACCCGAAACCGGGCTTCCTGCGATGGTTGACCACCCTCTTCCACCGCTTCCACCCAAAGCCTAGGCAAACGGCCTTCGTGCCGGCCGTGGGGTATACAGGCCAATGGGCAACCATACAGCACCCACGGCCTCGGCGACTCAGAAGGAACACGATTTTCGAGCATGAATCGAGGGGGAACGGCATTGGGCAATAGCTCAGTGCAAGCGTGTGACCCTTGGATTGTGCTTTCAGTCAGTCCTCCTAGGCACCTTGACACCCCGCATTTTGTATGCCAAGTGCCTAGTTTCACCGCACTTTACAGCTGTGCGCCGGTGAGCACTCAGTTCGTGCTGATGAGAGAGACTCGCGGATGTCGAAAAGGCAGAAAAGAACAGCTCCGCCATCAACTGACTGGCGCGACTCGTAGGGAATGAGGGAATGGACCCTAAGGAATCTCTGTTGGGTGGTCATTCCCTCATTCCCTACGAGTCGCACCAGTCAGAAAAACATCAGTTTGATCCCATGTCACTCCAGCCCTTTCCTTTTGAACACTTGTGGGTCGCGGCGAGACTCGAGACCGAGGGAGCTGGTGGTTTCGGGTTCGCCAGCGCCCCCTTTGGTGAACGTCTCCCCCCGCGGTGTTTGCGCCGAGCTCATGAGATGCAGCGTCAGACAAGTCTCCCCAAGGAGGAGTTGTCCCAGTCAATGCTTTCCAATCCTCCATCATCATACACGATTCGCGCCGAGAAAGGCACTCACCACGTCGGACTCCCTGTTGAGTCAACGCGAAGCCTGGTGTACTCGAGACGGTGAGCCACGGTGAGCCACGGTTTTTCGGGGACGTTCGTCCCAGTGGACTGATGATCAGCATACGTTACGAGGGTCTGTGGATCAGCGTCAGGACGTGCTCCTGCGCATCCCGGCTCTGGTGTCCTGTCTGGACTTTCCAGACAGGATGCTCCTGGCAGATGCCATTCCCTTTCTTCCCTCTCTAGCTCGTGCGTTTCACATGAGGAGTCGTCCGTTGTTTAGCCGCTCTCGAGCGTTTCCGCTGGGGGGGGTGAAGGATGGCCGGAACAGGCACACCCACATGGCCGCAACCGACTGAACGCCAGAACGTACCAGGACCCATCCTGTCTGGCTGTGCAGTCAAGGTCTCACCGGGTGGGGTCGAGCTTCGGCCCGGCCAGGAGGGCGGTGGGATCCGACTGAGGCACTGCCAAGTGGGAGGCTCACCTAGGTGCAGTGTGGGGAGCCCGAGGGTGAGTGGAGGTGAACCACTGGCCGGGCCTAGGGTGGCTTGGCGAGATCTCGAGATCTTTCATTTCTTTGAAGTCCCCACACTTCGAGTCCTCAAGATCCTGCAGCCTCCGTGGCTGGACAGTCCTTTTTCAGATGGCTGGAAACGATAGGGATGAGGACTTCTTTTTGTGGTATGAGGCTCCGATCTCATGCGGGTGTATATGATCTGGCGTTGGGGGTGCTTGACACAGACTCGGAGCAAATTAGACCGCCCTTCCACCAGAATAGGGGATCAGTATCTCTTGAAGGTAGGGGGGTCACTGACTCAGCTTTCATGATTTCCAGGGTCGGGTCGTGTGCGAAGCTAAAAACTAGAGATCTAGGACTAGGATCAACCTCAGACTCAGATCCTCAACAAACCCAGTGACACTGGTTGGCCGGACTACGATGGCATCAGACACAGATGACCGATCATCACTTCAGCTCTCAGGTACCGAACCACCTGAGAATCATACCTATATAGTATATACATCCTAATGCCTAATACATGCTAATACATCCCTAATACACACCTATATAACACATCCTATATAGCACATCCTAATGCATCCTAATACCAGGAACAGTCCGGTAAAGATGATCATTTCTTTGGGGGAGACAAGTCTTTAACCATCCGCTGGGCCCCGGGCTTGGAATCCTCCGACCCCCCCAATCGATACATCGACCACGAGCCGCCCGAGATATACCGACCTTCAGATCTCGGGCCTTCAAAGGATTCACCAATGGAAGCCCCAGCCCACTACTTAGGGATCTCCATTTTTGCCACCCCACAATGAAGGTCCAGGTGTATCCTTCAGACCAGCAGAGCGAAGCAAAGAGGATTCAACTGGAAGTGACACTCGGATCATGGGCCAACGTGGACGTCCTGTATGCTCATCCGCGTCTGCTCGGCTGAGCATGAGGAGTCCTTCCGTTTCGACCCCACAGGTGAACTCACTCACTCCACGAAACCCATGAGGAATCCCAGGGATGGACCGACGCGTCCATTACCACTGTCAAAGACGGAGGGCGGAAGGAGCGGAAGGAGCGGAAGGAGCGGAAGGAGCGCAAGGAGCGCAAGGAGCGGAAGGAGCGGAAGGAGCGGAACTGAACATGGTTGATGTGGATGGTACCATGCTTCGTTGGCAACCCGTGCCAACGTGTGGGAGATGTTGCCAACGTGTGGGGATGTGTGGGGCGATGTGATCGGGATGTGTACGAGGCAGAGGGACCTTGAGAGGGCACTCTCTGGCCATCTAATGTGGACTCTTGATTGATAGACCCTTTAATATCTATGAAGGGGTTTTTTCAATGCATGTCTGCGGGGAGGTGTTCATTAATCAAGAGTCTACTTATATCATTATCCACTCTGAACTTGCTACGCAGCAAGGTCTTGCCAACGTTTGGTGTCGCCTGAACGCAGGTTTGGTGCCTCCAGATCCGGCGTCCAAATGATTTGCACATCGAGCCTCAAACTACAAACTTCATTCGCAGATCAGAAGACCATTTAACAGTGCGCGGCAGAACATTGAGGGAGATGTTGTGGCGGGTGTACAAGCGAAACTGCCATCAACAAACCATCTGTGTTGTTGGCACCAAGTCCAAACTCTAAACTAAACAAACCTAGATGCACAGTGCCTAGATGCACAGTGCTTCAAATATTTCACCTGCAGAGCAGGACACCTCTAAGATTGAGGAGTTTAAGCCTCTGATGGCTGGACAGAAGGAGGCGAACGAGCAGGGGTACGCACAGCAGAGCATCGCAGCACAGGCCGGCAGAGGTGAACGAGGACAGAACGATGCGCCTTTGGTGTGTTGCGGCCATGCCAGGTCATCTAGAACCCCCAAGACACGGACCCCCAAGACATGGGGGGGTTTGGTTAAGCAAGAATCAATCTACATAGATGATCAAGACAGTCCACTGCCAAACGGCCGTGGCTGACTCGTGTCCGCAAGTCGCGCTAGATATACAATATATAAATATACAAATATATAATATATATACTACTAGAAGTCCAAAGACTGACTATCTTTGGCACCGCCATTTTAAACATAGTCTTTGACGTTCAGGGTGTACACACACATATATATATATATGAGAGAGAGAGAGATATATATATATATACACACCATGGTGGCAGCGTCCAAGGCTCACCTGAAGTGACCGTCCTGGAAGCCGCTTCCCCAGGCTCTCATTAGCCTGGAGTCTGGAGACTGCCCCTCTCTTGGCCTCCTGTGGCGAGGAGAGGAAGCCGATCGAGCGAAGGGGGCCGGCCAGTCCAACCCCCCCCGAATAAGGCATGGGAGGTCAACCAGTTGAATCGATCGGTTCAAGGGAACATCTCTAGGAGACCGCATTTCACCCCCTATTAGGACATCCTATGACCACGGAGGATCTTCTTCGTCAAGCCTGTACTGCCCTTTAAGCTCCCTCCACTCTGCAATGGGCTAAAGCAAACCCCAACGACCTGTCTTGGACCAAAGTCTCTTGTCCAGCTTTCAACTCAAATCTCGAGTCCATTTCGAGTCCATTTCGATCATCTCCTAAATCTCGAACCACTTCGAACCAGTCTTCGAACCAGTCTTCGAACCAGTCACCGCTTCGAACCAGTCTTGGAACCAACCACCCCAAACATCTCAGTCACCGCGCTTACTCGCCCCTCGCGGATGGAGGAAGCCGCCGGAGTCCGGGAGTCGGGAAGCCGTCCGCCTCGGTAGGACGGCACGGTGCGCATTTGGGAGGCGCCGAACGGCGAGAACGGCGAGAACGACCGGGGGAACGACGGAGGGGGTCGTCGGTGTCGGTGTGGGAGGTGGTTGTTCTTTCCCTTCCGTGTTCCGAACATCGACCGAGCTGAGCTCAGGTTACCCTCAGCAAAACCCCTCCAAGACCCTCAGCGGTACTACCTCAAATATGCAAAAGATTGAGTCAATTTTCATTTTGCGGATGATTTGTGCGGGGGGAGAAGCCATAGAAGGGCTGGATGTTTATTCAACCCTCCAACAGTTTTTTTCAACCCTAACCTTTTTTTTCAACCCTCCAAGACGCTTTTTCAACCCTGGGTTGGAAAAAAATGTAACCCCTACTAAAACAACCCATGGTCCTTATATTCCAACCTTTTTTTTCACCCTGGAAACATATTTTTTCCACCCTTGAACCTTTTTTTCCAACCCATAAACATGCTATTTCAACCCTATGACACGCTATTCTAACCCTAGGTCGCACCGTGGGGGGCTGGCCCTTCAGTCCTAGGATGTAGACGCCTTCGTCGGAAGCTCGAATGATTCGGCCGCCCTATTCTGCTATCGCTGCTGGTCTTTCTCCACCGTCTTCCTTTTGCTTTGGCCTTGCTGGCTGGCTGCTGCCAACCTCTGCCTGCAGCTTCCGCTGCTGCCGCTGGTGCTGCTGCTTACTGCTTTGCTGTGCTGCAGCCGCTGCTGCTACCGCTGCTGCCGCCGCCGCTGTTGCCGCTGTTTGTGCCGGCGCTTCCTTTTTGCTTAGCTGTTGCTGCTCTGCTGGTTTGGATGCGCGCTCGTGCTCAGAAAGAGTCGGCAGCGCACGCAACATCGCCGCTCCGGGCGACATGTTCCCAGAACAAAAATGCTTGGTCAATGGCCACAACAGACCGAGCCCTCTGAAATCCCGAATATCATGGCTACTATGCACGCCCCCTACACCCAGGCCCCCCCCTGTTGAAACCTATGTTCAGACATTAGTAAGGCCTAAGCAGGCTTCAAACCTCAGTTTCTACTCGGCAGGCGCTCAGCACAGCATGGAACTCTTACTGGGATGCTGTTCTCCTTCAGTGAGGTTTTGGTCTTGTTTCGGTCCTTTGCTAAGACCTCGGTCTTGTTTTCTTGTTAAGACCTCCATTGGCCAGCGTACATGAACATGTCGTGAAACTGTGCTTGTCTGGCAGTGGCTGCTGGCTCTGGCTAGCCACAGTAAACATACAAGCAAACAAGTTCGTCCAGATTTGCTAGCAAAGTTGCAGTGCAGTGCATAGTTCACACCTTGGAACATTAGACTCTATATATAGGGTTTAACTTGACTCACCCTTTTGTGGGCAAGGCAGGGGTAAAATTTAGAGAAGGATGTTGCTCTTCCAAGTTGACTC